AAGTGTTCCCCAAAAGGCGTTTGACTGTTGGGTAGATATGAGGAGACCACACCTGACGATGCCAAGGAAGAAGTGAACATTCTGGAGCCCCATGAAAGAAGCTGATGTCAAAACTGACGCAGATGTCAGGGCGGCGCTCCGAAGGCACTTGCTCTCTTTTAAAAATATTAAAAATGTTGATCGTGCACCGGTGTGGTGGTGCGTGCCTGTAGTCCCAGCACTGAGACAGGAGGATCATGAGTCTGAGGCCAGCCTAGAGTCCACAGTAGGGCCCTTTCTAAAAATGGACGAAAGTGGCGGCTGAAGCACAGCGCACAACGAGGTGCATATCTAAAGTATACGTGGACGGCATGAGGCATTTTCAGAAAGCAAACGCTTGCCCCAGCGTGACCGGACTGCTGGTCAAGAAACAAACTCATGCCATCTGTCTTTGCCAGAACACAGACGCTGCCACACTTTAATTCTTCGGGGTATTAAAATCATTTCTTCACATATCTGTTCCCTCATTAGATCATAAATCTATGAGTCTATGTAAAGACTGCGCCTTATATCTCCAACATTTGAATTAATGGCTGGCAATTGTGTGTGTGTGTGTGTGTGTGTGTGTATAAGGTTCAACACACCCTCACACACGCACACAAACTTCTATCAGATAGCCTTCTAAAAATCCTCTCCTGGGAAACAATACAGCCGTGATTAACAGCACAGGCTCCGCAGCCTGATAGTCCTGCTTTGGTTTGGATTAAAAGGACGATTGTTCATTTGTATTAGAAAGTCGGTTCCCACCCAGAGGCATTATTGAAAGTGCTTGGATCATGGGACACTAACTTCCTCAATGGGTTAATCCATGAGTTCATAGCTAAATGGGTTGTCAGAGGGTGGGTCCTGGAAGAATAAATAAGCGTCTTGGGGTATCTGCGACTTTGAATGATAGCAAAAATCTCAGTTGCCCTGTCTCAGAGACAGCCAAGATCAAGGGACAAAAACCCACTGGCCATTCAAACCCTGGAAGCTCTCTGTCCTTGGTTAACACATCAGCGAATTTTATCAGGTGTTTACAACACCACAGGCACGGTGCCATTTCTCTGGCATGGAAGAATTTAGAATTCTGGCTGGGGCCAGCGCATGGGGAACTGACCGGCAGCCGGAATCTGCATTAGTAGACAAGGCAGTGTCCGAGGTGTCAGACACTGCACAAGGAACCCATCTGTCAATGGAACCCAACCTGGTCCTCAATGACCTTTTCCACCAAGGGTCAGGGAACTCAGGAGAAAGTGTCCTGTGGCCCCCTTTCCAGGTGCTGAGAAGAATATGATTGCTGGGAGGTGGCTGAGGGAGAGTGGGCAAGGTCCACGGGGAAAGGTAGGAGGAGGGGAGCCAACTGTTTCAGCCCAATTGGCTCTTTGGTCCTCAAGTCCATCTTTTCCCTCCCTCACCGTCTCCAGGTGGAGCCAGCATGGTACAGGACACTTGGCTTTTTATGCGAACGAGGGAAGGGGTTATGGAGGGGAAGGAGGGTGCTGAGGGAGCACTATGTTCTGTGAAGAACTGTGCTGAAGCTTCTGGAACTGTAGTTTAGAGGTGGAACAAAGTGGAGAAAGTAGGTAGGACCAGCCCTGACCTAGACGGTACTTCTTCCACCCCAGGCTTCCCAGGATGGCCCCAAACATTCGTGTATCTAGACTACTTGGTTCTTGATACACTGATTAGAACATACAATGATTTGGGAGCTGGTGTGTAGCTCAACAGTAAGTGGCTCACCTAGCATGCTCAAGACCCTCGGTTCTATGCTGGTACGGCAAAAATGAAGGAAAACCCCTACAATTACAAAGACGGGCAAACGGTCTGTCTTCTTCCTCAAGAAGGGGTTCTTCAAACACCTCAGTAAAGCAGGTGTTTGAAGGAATCCTCAGTGAGCACATGTTGGTTGAAAAAGTCTGTCTCTGTCCTGGGGTGGTTAAGTTGAAGAACAGACGCCCTCCTGACGAGCAATGCACTGGCTTTGTCACTAGTACAGCTACAGAAGCCCTGGGAATGCCATCTATGGCTGAATGCGCCACACTGGGCACCCATGTCCTCACCCTTCCCCCGGGGCCATGAGCCAATGTGGAAGGGCCTAGCATATTCCATCCTTGCTGAGAGAGTTGGAGGCTATGCTGAACCATCTTGCAAAGTTGTTGCCATTTTCCTTCCAATATTAAAGTATACGGAAGACGGGTTTCAAAGCTTAATGTCTAGGGAGTGTGAGTGGGTTGGGACCCGCCAGGCAGGAATGGTGCATTGCAGTAAGGCCACTGCAGAGCTGAAAGTGCAAGGTGCCCTTGACCTGAGAGGCTCCTGTCAATCATTGCCAAAGACACAACCACTTCTCAGGCCCTTTCCCCACTTAACCAAGCAGAGGTCTCCAACAGTGACAGTCAGCTGTTAGAAGAATTCAGCAAGTTAACTAAATCAACCTTAACAGGGTTTATTTGACCAGAGACTGGTTTGTGAACCCGGCATGACTCAGAACTCAGCACTTCCAGCCACAAGAGTAGTGAGCAGGCTTCTCCAGGTGCCCCTGGAAGGCACGTGGAGAAATCACTGAAGCTGCTCCAGTGAGTGGGCTGGGCCTTATTGGGCATAGGCTAGTGAGCTGACTGCAATCAGCTTGGTTGTTTGTGATTGGGTGAAACTTGGCTATTTGCTACTAAAACAGAACCAAACAAAACCTCCTAAACTCAATTCCAGCTTGTTACCTAGGAACTCACAGTGCACAAGCAACCTCAGGCTGGTGGCTTCCCGATTATTTAATTTAGCAGACTCCCCAAGACAGGCGTCATACGCTCCTGGAACACATTTGTTCCTTGGGATCTGCCAGAACGCTGGCCACTCCTCTGATTCCTCTAAACATCCAAGGCCCCAAGAGCTCAGCCTTCCGGCAAAGGTCTCACTCAGATTGCGTGGCTGTCCTACCTGCCTGTGATGGTTCCCAAACGGGTGCCCTTGCCCAAACCTTCCCCGATGTGTTCCAGACGGACAGGCCCAACTGTGCTCTCAACCCCCTGCCTTAGACTCTGTGTGGCTTCCTCCCTCTGCCCAGCTGTCTGTCACCCCTCTTCATGCCTCCACTGCAGGGAGATGCCTCTTTGTTGTTTCCTATGAACACAAAGCGCACCTGCCCCCAGGATGCCTGCACATGCCCAGTCTCAGAACAAACTGAAAAACGTGAGATGGGCTAGTGAGATAAACATGAGTGGGCTTCAACTTTCTCACAGATGTGATGCTGAGCAGGAGTGTCAACTCGGGTTCTATGTAAATAAAGTCTGCAAAGGAAAGGCACACACACACACACACACACACACACACATGCAAACTAATAGACTCGCTTAAAGCTGCTGGATGGAAGGAGACGCAACAGAGACATGATTTTACTATGCTGGTGGGTGCTGGTCACGCAAACGTCACCAGTCTGTCATGGAGTCATCAAGCATTACATATTCCTAGTACATACACTAAATGCTAATGAGGAGACAAGGTTTCCAGTGTTTCTGTTGTTCCGCGTTTCTAAGAGACCGCATTCATTCTCGTTCTCTGCCCACCTGTACCCCCATCCTTACTCCCACCCACCTCACACCCCTGTCCTTACTCCCGCCCCAGCCTCACTTTCTGGCCAGCTCCATTCTCTGTACAGTGTAGATGTTGTGTGACTAGAGAAAATAGTTCAGCATTTAAGAGTTTTTGCTGCTCTTGCAGAGAACCTCAGTTTGATTCCCAGCACCCAGATCAGACGGCTCACAACCACGTGTAACCGCAGCTCCACCAGATGTAACGGTCTCTTCTGGCCTCCGCAGGCACCCACAAACACGCGCCGTGTACTCACACAGACATCCACATACATATAAACAAATGGTAAAAGTAAACCTTAAATCATAACAAACAGGACACTGGCCACCAGTCCTGGGTTTTTGATGGTTTTAGCCATACTGAGTTCCACATACGACTAAATTATTTAACATCTTAGATATGTAATCATAAAGGAGAGCAACGGTTACCTCCTCAAGGCTCAGAATCTATGCCAGGTTCAAGATAGGCAGGATTTTATTTGTGCCCCAATAGATCTGCAAAATAAAACTATCATCCCTTTTTAGAGGCAAGAAACTTGTGCCTTGAAAAAGCAAGAAGCACTTGGTAAACTATAATAATTTTATAGTGGGGGGGTCACCACCACAAGAGGTACTGTATTGAAAGGTTGCAGCCTTAGGAAGGCTGAGAACCGTTGTCTAAACAGTTCTCTTTCATGCCACCTATCCATGCGGGACTCTATTGTAACAGGTTCCATTCCGTTGCCCAGCTTCCCTTTGCTTCTCCTGGAGAGGGAGAAGCACTCAGGAAGGGAAAGGCAGATGGCTTGATGCCCTCTTAGGTCTGAACCACCCGCAAACACCCAATGCAGGCAAGTGCAGCACGGGTGTTTACGCTGCCGATCCCAGGGCCTGATCCCTGACTCTCCGCCCAAACTGCAGAGGAAACTCTAACAGTCCCGCCAACCAGCAGAGCTTTAAAAGTCCTGGCAAGAACTCTGAAATCAGATCCGGCCAGCATGTGTCCCTGAATATCGGAATAGACACTATATTTACCCTGAAAAGCCCTTTAGTGCAACTGAGAGCTATAAATAACCATTAGGGCCCAAGCGAGTGGCCTTAACACATGGATTTCCTTCCAAAAAATGCAAACCCATTTTAATTAAATTTGTAATTAGCCTTAGGGGAGGGCAGGCCCCTTGGACTCCTTCAGCTTGGACACTGTGAGTAATTTCTGTTTGTTGAGCATTTGGGGATTCGCACGCTCCTTGCTGTTCAGCTGGGAAGACCCTCCCGGGAACCTGCAGAGCCCAGCGCTCCCTGGAGAACAGATTCTGGGCTTGGGGGAATGAATGCAGTGGGCTTAAACCTCCCCCTGTCCTGGGTATTGGCCCCTGCAAAGCCAATCCTTGTCACCCTGCTGCCCTGCAGAGCAAGATGGGGATCATGGCTGTCCTGATGCTACCCCTGCTGCTGCTGGGAATCAGCGGCCTCCTCTTCATCTACCAGGAGGCATCCAGGCTGTGGTCGAAGTCTGCCGTTCAGAACAAAGTGGTGGTCATCACCGACGCCGTCTCGGGACTGGGAAAAGGTAAGCCGGCCTCCCCTGGACCTCTGCCCATCTCTGCCCCAAGGGACCTGTGGAGGAGGATGGTATCAGGGCACACCGCTGGTAGAGAGGAGGTGACCCAACGGGGCTCTTCTCTTTGGGGTCCGAGGCTTTCTTGCCAGGCGAAAAGCAGGGCCAGAATGCCTTGGGGGTGCAAACCCATAGCTTGACGTTAGGAAATACTGGGTTTGAGTGCTTCAGCAGTCTGCAGCAATCTTGAAAGGCCCAAGTCCTTAAGTCGGAGCTGCGTATAGGATATGAGGCCAGACCAGGGTGCTAGATGCCAGCCCTGGTTCCCTCACTTACCTAGCAGGTGTCCTCAGCTATATGAGTTGAGCAAGGATAATAGCAGTCTCCAGTCCGGAATGCCGCTGTGAGCAACAACTAGACTTGCCCACGGGTGGGGCTTGGAGCAAGAGCGACCACCATTCAAGGGTTGCTAGGGACGGTCATGTTGAACGCCGTGTGTCTCACTCCCCACCACACGGCCTGTGGCACACAGGGCTGCTGCTTCCCACCATCTCACTTCCTGGCCTTGAAAGCATTTTCCTTCACAATCTCTAAGTCCGACAGTCTTCTGGGCCCTTCCTCTTGTTACGTTTGTGACAGGACTGTCCTTTGTCGTAGCGGGATTCTATTATTCCTAATCATGGCAGTGTACCCTGCTATAATAGTTAATGGCAATTTCTGCTGTTATTTTGTTATTTAATCCAGCATAGACCCCACACAGCTAACCACCCACTAGCCACTCAACATGTGTCAATAGGCCCTCACAGTCCTAAGCACCTTCTAGGGCTTGGAGGCCGGGGTGGAGGACACTTCCCCCATGGTGTGGTCATTGGGAGATCTTTTATGGCCCCATCTCTGAGGTATCTCAGAAGTCACCAGAGGGAGCATGTCTCCCTCCTGAGAGGTGGGCGAAGTCTCAGTGAGTGTTTGCCTTGGGTCAGCCTTGGCAGACCCACAGACCCACAGACACGGAACACAGTGGATGTGGCCTCTGGAGCAATTTCCAAAGAGGCTATCCCGACTTGTTAGGATCGGCTCTCAAAGGGAGCAGACGCACAGACCCAAAGCTCAGTCCCCTCCCCAGGGCCAGCCAGAACACGCTAGTTTGCCCCTCAGACCAAAATCAGGACCACAGTGTTTCTGGGGGTGATAAGAGCGACTCACCTGACACTATTCAGTCATGGGACAGTCTTTCAAAGGTCGAATAGAAACAGGCCGGGTCCCTGGAGCTTCCCCTGCTACCGTACCTGCTCTGTCCTTTCAGGTGGCCCCCAGAGACCTGCCTTCCCACAGCCTGAGGCTGGTGTCCTTCCTTCTTCACCTTGTTGACCCCACACCCACCGAAATGCCCCTCATCTTCTAAACACTCAGTCATCTGTTTTCAGATTTTGTTTTGAATCTGTAATGTTCCCTGCCACACACACAGACTTGTGTTTCGAGTGTGAGTTTGGAAGCTGTGGTGTCTGTAAGTCTAGGTCACGGGGCTTCTCGGCCTGCAGGTCGTGGTCCCCTAACAACCATCAGAACACAGAGATATTTATGCAGAGACGAAAAATAATGGTTTTTATGGTTGGAGAGTCACCACAACACAGGGGACTGTATCAAAGGCTCACAGCAGGAAGAAGGCTGAGAACCACTGGTCTAGGAGGAAGGGCCTGACTGGCAGAGGTAGCTCCTTAACTCCCCTCCCCCACACAAGCTGTCACCTCCCTCTTCCATCACCACAGACCCACCTGTTGCCCTGTGCCTTCCAGGCCAGCATGGATCCTCTCAAACCCGTACCTAAATAAACCTTTATTCTCATAGATTGCTCCTGGCAGGATTTGCGCTCACAACAAAGATAAAGGTAACCAGTTCATTTAATGACCAGCATCATCTGATCGGGGAAGGCGCCCAGAAAAGTATGTTTGTGACTATCGGTTCCTCTGATTTTCACTTTGGTTCCAGTATGGTCAGAGAATGAACTCTGCAAGCTTCCATTCTTTTGAGTTTGTCAAGGTTTGCTTTGCGGTCTTCCGTGGCCTTTTATGCAGTCTGTTCCCAGGGGGTTGGGAAAGAAGGTGCCCATCGCTGAGGTTGGATAAACGGTCCTGCAAGGGCTAGCTGCGTCTTGTCATTGAAGATGTCCTTCAGACCTTCTGTATTTCTAGATGGACCCACTGTGCTCCCTTTGGTGAGGGCTGTGGGTTTAATTCAACAGTCTCATTCATTCTGTTTTTAATATCATTGGGCTATAAAAGTCAGGACCCCAGGAAACACGCCACAGGTGTTTGCAGAAAGGTATAGCCCAAGCTGTCAAGATTCTTGTCACTATTCTCTTTTACTGCCTCCCCCTGACACTCTTCACCTCCCTGACCCAGTGCCTCACCCTCTGCTTTGCAGAGATGCAAAGCAGGAAAGAATAAGGTCCAAGTATTTAGAAGTAATATGAGCAGCTGGGTGTGTGCAACTTTAAATAAATGCCTGCATTCCCCCGTACTGCTGATGACAGCCATCCCAGGCACCAGCTGCTCCATTTCAACTTCCAGGCAAGAAAAATCCGGGGGACACAAAGTGGCTTCCACATAGCTGATACTGTGCCCAGGGACCCTAGCACCACAATCCTGTGGGTGGTTACACAGTAAGACAGCAGTCCTCAACCTGTGGCTTTTTTGACCCAAAGGGGTCGTGACTCTAGGGAAATCACAAATGCGCATCCCAAGTCTGGACATCTTGCCCTCGCCCAAGCCATCACAAGGCAATAGACGCAGCCACTGTGTTAGCTTGTACCCACTGGGACTGGGACAAGAGTGACAATCAAGCACCTAAGCACTGGATTTGGCCTTCGGGCAGAGCAGACCAGAAGAACTGAACCAGGGAGGGCGACCCCTGCCTGCGTTCTCACAGCTCGAAAGACGCCAGTCTTCCCTTCTAAGCACTGCTGAAGCAGGCCGTCCACCACGGCCTCCCACCGCCCCTACAGGCCAGCCTTTCTTACTTCAGGATCTCTGGAGTCAGACGCACTTCACACTGCTTGGCATGTTAGAACGGAGGAAACACGTAAGGAAGTGTCCAGTTTGTGTTTATTAGTTGAAAAGGACACAGTCAGTGTTGAAGTAACAGGAGACAAATGTTGAACCGAGCTGATAATGAACTAAAGCTGGATGTGGCCACCAGTAATTCCAGCAGGAGGAGGCAGGAGGGTCGAGGATTCATTGTCATCCTTAGCTACATAGTGGGCTGTTTTTGAGGCCAGCCTGGTCTACCAGAGACATTGCCTTAAAAAAATAAAAAGATAAGCATAAACGTAAGGGCTGGAGAACAGAGGCTCTGCCACAAAGTGCCTGGCAGGAGAGAAACAACAGCTTCAAAGGATTCGGCCCACGGAGACAGAGAGGGCAAGAGAGAAGAGCGAAGCTCACATCACCACCAAGGAGGAAGCAAGGGTGGAGATGGTAGTACCGCCGGCTTCCCCCTCTCGTTCACCGCACGCCTCCAGTCTGGGGGAGGGGTGTCATTGCCAGCCTGCGGCGCCCACCACATTCATGGTAGCTGTTTCCCTCAGCTCTCCCTCTCAAACACACCTAGAGGTGTGCCTCAGCCTCCCAGGGGATTCCAAATCTAATCACACTGGCAAGATTAACCACCACCCCTGTGATAGCAGCACTCAGGAGACTGAGGCAGGAGGATCACTCAGTTGGAGGCCAGCCTGGGCTAAGCAGAGAGACCCAGTCTCAAAACTGACAAAAACAAAACAAGAATAAAAATAAGAATTTCAAAAGTAAAAAAAAAAAAAAAAGAAAAAAGAAAATAAGGATTTCAAAGTGGGCCTGCTGGTATATAGATCTGTAAGCCCAGCTACTCAGGGAGGCTGATGCAGGAGGATTACAAGTTCAAGACCAACATGGAAAACTTAGCAAGACTTTGCAGATATGTCCCACCATTAGGAAACGGAGCGGATGAGTGAGTGAGTGACAGAGCCCCAGCCTTCTTGGTGCTGGGATTGGCCAAATACAGCCTAGCGTGGAGAACAACTTCCCACAACCTGGACATCAGATGTCTTGAGCGGCATCTTCAATCCTGCCGCACCTTAGCAGCGGTGGGTGTGTGGGAAACTCCCTCGGACTCTTTGAACCCATTGTTCCCTCCACACACAAGCACAGGGGGACCTTCTCCTTCCGAACCAAGTGACAGAAAGTCCACAACTGTGGAGAGCATAGCTGTGAAAGACGGATTTTTAAGTAATAAAAGGCACACAGAACTGCTTCAGTGGAGCATCCTGGGCGGGTGTGAGGCTCTGTTTCCGTTTTGCTCCTGGGTGAAGCTGACTGCTCAGTCAGGGCTGTGGGGGAACCAAGAGTGGAGTGGAATAGTTCACTCCCGCCCAAGTCAGCCCGTAGGAGAGACTCTTCCCGCAGCTGGAAGGAAAAGGACGCCCAGGCTGTCTCCTGACTTTCCGATTAGGGACATTATACACAATCCTTCTGTTGTGTCAAGCCCTCAGCAGGCCTGAGTCACAACCAGTGTGTCCATTTTCCTTGTTTTCTCCCCATCCTGAGCTTCCTGTTGTGTACAGAAGAGCAAGGGACGTGCTTACCTGAGGGACACATTGTAAGGTGGCTCCCAGCTACGTGGGCAGAGCTCCTGACTCAGTGAGAATGTACTTGCTTGGGCACAAAGGAGGTCTCTGGTTTCAGTCCCAGCCCTGGAGCCAGGTGGGCACCTCAGTGTTTTCTTTCTATTATGGGCGACTTTGCGTCCCTCGGAGGCTCGTTGAAACATCCAGCTGCACCTCTGGGAAGTGGAACATGTAGACCTTACCCGTGGCTTACTTCCTGTGAGCCCTGGTTTAGGGTAGGCAACACCATAGAGACCCCTCTGGTCTGGGTTCAGATGCAGGGAACTCTTAGCAAGCGTCAAAGGACCCATAGATGCCTTTTCTCCTGGAGATGATGGGAAGGAAGCATATCCCAACCCTGGCCCATGGGCAAAAG